GCGCTTCGGCTCCCGCCTCTTGCACAACGTCGCCCATCCTTATCGGACACAAATACACACGTAGAGGCACTTCGGAGCATTCAAAGGCACAGCTGGAGGTGCAGACACTCAGCTACCCCCCGACCGAAGGTTACCGGAGCAGCCACCCTCCCCGCTCACCTCCTGCGGCGGTGCCACCACGGGCATCGCAGACACGGCGGAGCCGCTGCTGCTTAACACGAAATCTGTTTGATGGGGAAGTGCCCCTTCCTGGCTGGGAGCACGTCCTTCCTCCTCCTGCCTTGCCTGGGACTTAATCCACTTCCTTGCAGCTGACTCGGTGAAGCCGGCTCTGGTTTGGATGGGAATGTGCCTATTTCCTATGCAAACAACTATTGTTTCGCTTATCTTGGTCCATAAAACAGCTTAATCACTGCCCAGCTACCAGCAATAAAGGATCCACCCAAGGCAGCACACAGAGCAACCCTCCCACCATCCTAAAGCTGTTCAAACCCCAGGGAGCTTCTCCTCCAAAGAAGCATCCAAGGGCAAGACACAAGGCTGCCTCTCCAGTAGATCCCAGATACAACTTTATTAAAATTACTCACTGGCTACTACATCTCCAGCCATGCCCAGGCTTGTTGCATTTCCTGTTGGTCACTTGGCTTTTGCTCTGTTTTGAAATTACTTCCTTAAATAAAATTACATACCTTTTTGACTTTTAAGACTTCAGTCTGTCAGGCTTTTCCTTTTAAGAAGAAAAAAATTTATTTTGGAGCCCAATGCCTTCTTCATATTCTTTACAGAAAAAGGAAGCTGCAGCAAGTTGCATTTCCCCTGAATAGAGTCTGCCATTAAGTCATTATTCCAGGCTCCTCTTAGTCACCATCTGACCCAAAAAATACAGAAGACAAAACTTTGCCAAGGCTGCTGCCAGCAGCTGTTCTTGCGCCTTCTTAACGTTTTACTTGTCTTTTGTTTCCTTCCTGCCATGTTCATGGCACAAAATGAAGTGGGACAGAGCCACCCACCTATCACAACCATCTGGACAAACCACTTCATTCTCAGCCCTGGATTTTGGGTGTTGCTGATCTTTTTGGCCACAGGTGAGGTCGGACAAGACAGCTCCAGTCTTGCAGGGTAATTGTTTCCATAGGCTTTCATGACCCAGCTTAAACTGCTTTTTGAGAGCTGAATAGATGAGGGTGAATCACAACACAGAAGTTATTGGCGAAATTTAAATTCTTGTTTTGTCCCATTTCACCAGAAGCACTTCCTGGTACAAAGCTCACAAATAAATAGAAACAGCTGTAGCATCCTTTGTTAGACCTCTCACTATTTTCTGGAAGTGTAAATACAGTTAATTTAGAGAAATTCCCCAACCACCTTCCACTTTCTTGATACCTACCGCTTGGTACCTACCTGCAAGCCCCACCATTGCTCCCTGCCTTGCAGGGCAGTCATGCAGCTCTGCCATGAAACACATTCCTGCCTTGAGTTCCCTGGAATCCGCAGCTGTCCGGAGAACAGAAATATTTGGAAACTGCCTAAAAATACCTGACCGCTCCAAGGCAGAGATCCATTTAGCTCAGGGCAGGGAGAAGTAAATCTGAGCCACCAGCCTGTTGCAAAGGAGCCTGCAAGATGAAAGTTCTCCTTGGGGAATTTTACATTTTCCTGACTTAATTCCTTCCCCTGGCCCTTAGCATCACTGCCCCAGGCTAAGTGTCCCCTGCCTCTCCATTCCAGCTCAGAGCTCCACCAACCTCCTGCCCACACAACAGTCACTGCTCTTCAAGCAGAGGCTTCTCCTGGGAAGATCTCCCAGATCCAGAGGGAGTTGAGGATGCTGATGGAGACACTGCTGTCACAGCAGCCTCCCCAGGTCACCCCAAACTGTCTCCATGCCCACAGCTTGCACAGTAGTTGCAGGAATGAGGAGCTCACAAGGAAGCAGAGCTCAACACAGCTGCATCTATGGCAAAATAAGCCTTGACTGGAAAAACTAGCAAAAACTCAGCCAGCAGAGGCTCAGTTTGGGGGGCAAATATATATATATATATTATATATCTTTAAAAACCCTTACATGCAGCAGCCTCAGCCCATGACCTTTTGGGAAGGAATAAACTTAACATGGATAAACAGGAGAGCCCTAAATGACAAACCCAGACATGCTGCACAAGAGTTGTGTTTAGCCCATGGAAAATAGAACCCACTCAGCCACACTGACAACACCATAATACTATAGAAATCCCCCCACTTCTGCAGAATTACATATACACTTAATTTCCAGCCCTTTTCAAGCATCCAAATAAAGCAAGGCCAAGCTTCAACTCGCTAAGGACACTAAGCAGCAGATCTGCTGGGAAAGGCAGCTAGTAAATGCCAGGCTCGAGCTGCTCCTCGAGGCAAGAGCTCCCTCTCGCACGCAGACACCGCATCGCAGAAGCGCCCGGTCCCCACCGGGCACCCGGGACTTCTGCCACATGGGCAGGATCACGGAATCACCTGTCGTTTGCTCTAATCCCCTTTTCTAGGGAGGAAAACCAACACCAGCAGCTCTTCCTCTCCACCAGGAAACAGGGATCACGCAATAAAAGCTGGCAGTAAAATACTACTGAAGTTGCCCTTGTGCTGTTACAATAATTGAAAAGACATAGCATAAATAGCTTAATTTTATTCTAGGACTTTCAGAATTAATAAATACCATGCAGATTGTTTTATCTTGGCTATGTAGAGTCCTAGTATTGATAATACTGATTTTTCTCCTACTTTGGGATTAATCCCCCTATTCTCCTGCCTCCCATCCCTCTGCTGTTCAGTAACATCATAGACCCCAAATACCAGCCTGGACACAGGAGCAGCTACTCCAGCCTAGCTCGTGTTTTTCCATAGAGATAGAAACGTGCAGTTCAGCACCTTTCCTGCCCTGAAGCAGAGGTGCTTAGTCATTTTAAGGAGTTTTCCATTAGCATCAAAAATGCCTAGTCAGGCTGCAGAGACCGCCCAGGAATTCAAGCCAGCAATTGGCAAAAAGGGCCACCCGCTCTAAGGGGTGTTTTATGCCAACAAGAGCATGATTAGTTACACTGCTGGAGCCAAGCCAGCACAATCAATGAATTGCAGTATGCTCCTGATGTTGTGAGTTTTCCATTTCAAATTTAAATTGGGAGATTAATAAGGGATATTCCGGAATGCTGTGATTGCAGGGAGAAAAATAAAAGTATTAGTGTTGCTCATTAACAATGAAACTTAATATGCAATGAATTAAATACATTACAAGATCTGATCTAAGATGAGTATATGGGCTACATCTCTTTCACTTAGTGATAGGAAAATAGGCCAAACAGTAGCTTTCTGGGGTAGTTTTTCCTGTAAATGGAATATACTTTGCAGCACATAGCTCTGCCTGCAGTCTGCAGTTTTGACGCAGATGAGACAAAGATATAAAGCTAATGAGACCATTGGTGTAGGAAGAGTCATGAAGCATGTCAGCTTTCCTGATTACCAAGCAGGAAATCTCCCTCAATGCAAGTTATTTGACACAGATGAGGTGCAAAGCAGCAGAGGCAGTTTTGCTAATGGGAAGCTGTTGAGAGCCCAGGAGACCATTTCTCTGATGTGAGGACACTCACTCTGTGCTCAATATCTATAGCCCAGAAGCCAGAGACAACCCTAGAACTGTGCAGTAAGACATCAATTCATTCCCCTTGCCCTCCCTTAGTGGAAAGGGCACAAGATGCTTGTGTTAAGGTATTACATCTGTGCTCCCATGTATGGGTGCTGTGTACTCGGCTGCTCTTTCATCCGGCCAAGGGGCTTGGCCATGGCCCCAACACACAGCTCCAGAGCACCAGTGTCACTTGGTCATCAGTGCTGTCTGCAGTAGCCACAGCTTCTCCAGGGATAAAGAGCAGATTTAACCAAACTGTTTGAAATAAAATGCTCCTTTATTTCCAGAAACAGTGACAGCTTAATGACTACTACACTAGAGTTAGGTACAGGAAGCTGAAGAACATTTTCTTATGCACTGGAATTCAAAGTCACTTACTTTATCAACACAGGTGAAGCTGTTCAGGAATTGCACAGCAAGTGATGCATGTCAAGCCCAAGTACTCGGCTATCACCTCAGCCACATTCCAGACATTGCATTGGGTCCTTTCAGCCAATGCCTGCTCCACAAAAACATGGAGTGCTGGCAGTTAATGCTCCTTCCAAGTAGCACATCAGGTAGGGACATTTCAATACCACAGAACAGAAACAGGGAGCAACTCAAACATGCCCACGGCCACCCATTTTTCACTTGTGGGATCCAAGCAAGGCATAAGACAGTGCCATAAAGTCTCTATCCCCTCCTGCATCCTCCTGTATTGGTGCATCCAGAGATTTATGACTGCCTCAAATGCTCTTGCAGCTGAACAGCTTCAATCTGTGCAGCAGCAGAGCTGGGAGCTGCAGGGCTGTGCTCTGCATCGAGCGCAGCTGCTGACCAGCACCCAGAAGAAACAGCGATTGCAAATGAGTCACACACCAGCTCAGAGCCAAGTCAGGCTGTCATTACCAGCCCGAGGTCAAAGCTCAAACAAATTCTTCCTAAAGGGAGACCAACCCCTCTCCCAGGGCTCTCTGCCATATTCTTGCTGCATTACTAACAATAGCTGCAGTTTTACTTTCAGGAAACCATGTGTGGAAGGACAAAAAGAAGAGAGCAACTTGCTACACATTTATCTTCTGTCTTCGTTTTGTGTCTCTAATGCAGTGACCGTTATCACCTGGCGTCCTGGGGTCTTTTTCACATTAGCCCTCTGCTCCATCACAAACCCCACCAGCTCCAGCACACCTGGGCAGCATCCCAGTCCGGATCCACGACTGGCTCTGAAGCCAGGGAGATATGAGATAGGCC